GCCTGGGTGCTTCAGTCGGTTAAATGTCTGACTCTTGGTCTCAGCTCAGGTCTTGATCTCAGGGTTGTGAGTTCAAGCCCCATGTTGGGTTCCTGGGCGTGGAGCCTATGGGGAAAAAATAAATAAATAAATAATAAAGGGTAAAAAAAAAAAAGAAATGGCTCCCCATCTGGGTCTGAGGGGCAAAGATGTTGATGTGCCAGTCTTGGAAGCCCAGACTTGTTTTGGGGGAAAAATAAAGCTTCATGAATGTAAAAAAACAAAGAAAACTTTATAGTTAATTAATGTGAATATCCAATTTGTGCCCAAACACAATTTAAGTCATCATTTCAAAATAATTTTATGTATGTTTATCAGGACAACTAAATTACCCCTCTAAAAAGTAATCACTTATGAAAATGTTACAAAATTTCCTTCTGGAACAAACTGTTGCTAAAAAAGATGATGCTTTCCAAAACACACACATGCACATTGGCTGCTATAATAATAGTGGTCATGGTAGTCTTGATGATGGGGGTGGTTTTCTTTGCTTCACATCTTTCCTCAATTCTGCTGATTAAGCCCTAAGCATTAGCCCTTTTACACAATACTGTTTCTCATTCTTCACTATCCTTTTGCCTTCCTTTATTTTTTAAAAAAAGATTTACCTATTTATTTGAGAGTAAGAGAGAGAGAACAGGTGAGCAGGGTGAAAAAAGTTACAGATTTCAGGGATTAGAGTGTGGACAACTTTATGGGACCATTATTTTACCTACTCCAATATACGTTCTCATACTTCCCAGAATTGAAACATGGTAAGGCCTCAAAAAATGTCTACTGAATCAGTGAATGAACAAGTCAACATTGACATACAACCCCTCCAAAAGCATTTTATTTTATTTATTTTTTTATTTAAATTCAATTAGCCAACATCATTGCCTGAAACCTGTAACTGTTTCTTTATATATCAAAAGGGACTTTGCAGATGTGATTGAGTTAAGGCTCTTGAGATGGGGAGAGTAGCCTGAAATATCCAGGTGGGCCCAATGTAACCACAAGGCTTCTTAAGAGAGGAAGGCAGAAGGGTCAGAGCGAGAGGAGATTGATGGAAGCAGGGAAGTATGAAGGGCAGGAAGAGAGACATTCAAGGATGCCATTTTGTCCTCGAAGATAGAGGAAGGGATTGTTATGAGCCAAGGAACACAGGTAGTTTTTAGAAGCTGAAGAAGACAAGAAATTGGATTCTCCCTTTGAACTTTCAGAAGGAACACAGCCATGCCAACACGGGTTTTATGACTTCTGACCTCCGTAAGGTAAGGTAAAAAATTTACAGTGTTTAAAGCTGCTAAATTTGTGGTAATTTGTTACAGCAACAATAGGAAACCGGCGGGGGGCGGGGGGCAGGTCTTAAAAGCCTCTTTTGAGAGCTGAAAGATGAGGAGGAGATAGCCAGGTAAACTGGGGAAAGGAGAAAGAATTCCAGACTAAGAGATTAGTTTACGAGGTTCACCAGGAAGATAGCTGGTAAATATAATCGATTAAGTCAGTGAGGAGATGAAGAGGGAGAGTAGTTTCTGATGCTGGAGACAAGGAGGCAGGAGTTGAATAATTTTTATAAGGAAATTCTATGAAATGGGAACAATAATATCTGAAAGTGTTAAGATTAAATGATCAATTTAAGTGCCTGGTACATAATAAAGTACTCAAAGAATTTTAGCTGTTATAACTGTTAAGGTTTGACCTTAGGATGTTCAAAGATTTAATGTAGAATATGGTATGCAAAATAAACTTATTCAGAGATATAAGAAATCTGCAGAAGACTGCATAAACATAGGGAGACAGGTTAACAAAGAGTGCTACAGTGAATATCCATATAATCACAAAACCAGGCCCCTGTCCTCATGGAGCTTACAGCTTAGACGGGGAGACAAACGCTAATCAAATAATCATACAAATACAAAATCAAATCTGGGACAAATGCTTTGAAGGAGATACAGAATGTAGTAACAGCAGGATTTGTCCTAGTCAGGAGAACAAAGAATTTCCTAAGGAAAAGATACTTGAGGTAACCGCTAAAGGAAAAGTAGAAACAAACCAGCTCAAATGGGAAAGTGAAAGAGCATTCCAAATAGAAGGAACAGCACCTTTAGGGGTCTGGGGCTATGGTGAGCACAGACTATGGAGAGGCCTTTGAACGATAATTAGAAAGGTAGGTTGGGCAAAAATTTGAAAGACTTTAAATGCCAAGCAGAGAGATTCTTCCCTAGACTTTGTGAGCTCCTTGAGGTCAGAGACCATGTCTTATTCAATTTTGTATCAAATCTAGGATAGGTTTGCTAAATTGAGTGCCAATTTTATTTGCCAGCTAATAGAATCCACTGAAGGTTTTTGTTTTTTGTTTTTTTTTTGGTCAGGTGAATTACAATATTGCTGGCTAGTACATAGCAATTGCTACCATAGCAGGTATTGGAGGACTGAATTTTGTTTGAGCACTCAAAGCTTTCCCAGTTGAAAGGATAACAATTATATTCTGAAGGTGGAGTAAAAGAGAAACCTGTTTTTTTTTTTTTTTTTTTTTAACTGATCTGATAAGAATGAAAGTGAGAGCACTTGTTAAAGATCTGGCTTCCCAGGACCCATCCCAGACCCTCTAAATTAGACCCAGGGAGGGGTATGGACAGCTGTACTTACTAACAAGCACCCCACCTGATTCTTATTCTCAAAGTTTGGAAGACTGGTATAGAGTACATTCAAGGGAAAAGGAAAGGCATGTACATATGAAAGAAGCAGAAGATACATTTAGGAAATTATTGGAGAGTAGGGTGCTTGAGGGGAAGTAGTTATTGCTGAGGCTGAGATTGTGAAAAGCTTTACCAGTAAAGCTTTTCCTTACTAAATTAATCTCTTATGAATAATGGAGAACCATCAGAAGATCTTAGGTAAGGGAGTGAGTTTTTGGGGGAGGAAATAACCTGAACAGTTGAAGAGTACACGTTTGAGAACTTTCTGAGGCATAATTGATAGTTTAATGGCTACTTCCATGAGAGAAATAACGGAGTGGCGAAGAATAAATTCAGGGTTTCCAATGTGGTAGACTGCCTTTGTTAGGGAGGGGTAAGAAAGCATCCCATTTTGTTTTAAGTTTTGTTTTTGTTTTGCTTAAAGATTTTATTTATTTGACAGACAGGGAACACACGCAGGGGGGGAGTGGGAGAGGGAACACACGCAGGGGGGGCAGTGGGAGAGGGAACACACGCGGGGGGGGAGTGGGAGAGGGAACACACGCGGGGGGGGAGTGGGAGAGGGAGAAGCAGGCTTCCCGCTGAGCAGGGATCCGACGTGGGACTCGATCCCAGGACCCTGGGATCATGACCTGAGCCGGAGGTAGACGCTTAACCGCTGAGCCACCCAGGAGCCCCTGGTTTAAGTTTTATATGACAGACAACACTAAGTGAATATGCCTACAGACAGAAATAGAGACCTTTCAGTCTGGGAGAAAGTTCTCAAGATAAAGAATATGGTTATGGGAGTCATTTGGAACCAGGGGAATTTCACTTCTATGAGTATGTAAATTGATAAATGGACCAAGCACAAAATTAAGGGGAAACACACGTTGAAGTAGCACCTAGAGGAGAAACTGGCAAAGGAAACTAGAGATGAAAGAGCTAGCAACTGCAACCTTGGCTACTCTATCTGATGCTCCTTATACTCCCAGGGTAAGTGAACTGAAAAAATAAGTATTTTAATTTTATTGGACTGATAAAATATTTGCCACCTATTTAGGACATTCTAAACACTTAGTAAAACTCTAGAAAACCTATTGATTGACCCAACCAGCTAAAAGAAACATAAAAATCAGGTAAGCTGCTGATTCTTAAATTCAAGAATACCAGAAGTCTTTGATACTTGAATTTTAGTCCTGGCTCTTCCACTAATTTGGCCAAATCATTTGAATGCTATGAACATGTTTTCTCATCTTAAAACAAAAACAAAACTGATGCTGGGATAACTAAATGATCGGTTGCTTCTAGCTCTAAAATCTAGTTTCTCCAGAGACCCAAGCAAGTCTTTGATGGAAATCTTAAACATTTATGCAAGAGCAAATCTTGAAGTAATAACCATTTCCCAATCTCACCCTTTCCTCTTCTCAATGAATATTGGTTTGGATAGACCCTGTTATATATGAGGCATTGAATATTTTTTCCAGTTCCTGTCATGAGTACATTTTTGATTGCCACTCATCCCACTGAGTCATGTCTGGTGTCACATCAATGGAATGGCATCCATTTGTACCCCACCTAGAAGAGCCTTTACTTCCTTGGTGCCTTTGAAGTGGCTCATCAAATACATGAGATTGCCCTTCTTCCCAATGGAATCAAAAGCTTTCTTCAGGGAGTTGTGTTAAATGAGACGGGGCTCTCTAAACTGAGGAACTCAATGAGGTTCAGTACACACTTGGGACCTCAAGAGCTACGGACTCCCCCCTCCCCCATTAAAAAAATACAAATAAAAAACCTTTACTTTTCAACAAGCCTAATGAATCCCTTGCAAGAGGGATCTACTGTAAACCATATTAAGTAACTAACACTGGTGCAGGACAAATACGTAATTGAATAAGGTCCTTCACTTGATTATTGCAAATGCTTGTGCCAGGCACTGTGCCGGTTCGGAGATTTACATCAATTAAAAAAAAGACCATCTTTGTGAAGTCGTCCCCAATTTGGGTTGCAGCACGGAGGGAACTTCAGCACGCAGCCTTCCGTAAGGGTAACTGGGTATTTCCTTAAGGACTGGCCGCGAAGACTTCCGCCCAGGAAAAAGACAAACAGACCAACTCCCTTTTCTTCACGCCGCCTAGCTAGACGCCTGGATCGCATAAACACTCACAACTCACCGCACTCACAATAGCTTGACTTCTTCCGGTGGACGCGTCAGCCAGACGGCAGGCTCCTCCCGGAGGTCTGCCACACTCCCAGGAGGCGCCGCGCGTGCGCCGTAGCCCCGCCTCTTGCGGCGCTGTGATGGCGGAGTTGGACGTAGGGCAGCACTGTCAGGTGGAGCATTGCCGGCAGCGAGGTGATCTAGCAGTCCTTAGCCACGGGCATGGTAGACCTGGATCCCACTATGCCTTCACGGAGAGTGGTGGCGGGTGAGGGGAGGTGGTGGGGCGCGGTGAAGGCTGAGGAGGCAGGGTGGGTTCGTCCCTTCTGGGTCTGCAGTGAGATGTGTTGGTATTTTTTTCTTGCCCCTGGGTCTTTGGAAGAGAGTTGTGGTCTCTTTAGAAGCGAACCGTGCAATTTCCGAAAACATGCCTTGCATGCCTGGCTGAGAACTTTTGTCCCTCCCACTCCTTTGTGATGTCGGGAGACTTGTGTTCCCCTCTGATCCCGCCACTACGACCTTGGGCAAGCCACTTTTCTTTCCAAACTTTCTGTTACTTACCTGTCAGATGGAGTTGGGCGAGATTACTTTTTCACCTGGTCTTCGCGGCTTCTCGTGCGAATGCCCTTAGCTTTTAGCAGATTCTCAACCTCAGACTATTCTGCTAGATGATCATTATGCTCACTCGGTTCTGTCATTCTTTGAATATTACTGACTCAAACATTTACCAAGCATCAATTTTGGTGCTGGAACTACATAGGAGGGTATAAAATACAGTCTTTTCCAAAGAAAAGCTTTCAGAATAATCTGTATTTTGGAGCATTAATAAGGCGATCTTCTCTCTACATTGAACTGAGAGACTGTGATACACCTAGCCCAATCTAATAGCCAGTGGTAGTGTGGCACAAGCTTTAGGATGTCCTACATCTGGACAGGCAAGTTTCCAAAGCATTAGAGCGATACAGAATGCTCAGTCTTTGGTACCTGGGTTTTGCTCCAAATGTGTGCTGTCACAATTGACTGTTACTACATAGGGTGGCAAATAGGTTTCATCTCTCACTGCAGCTTCAGTTATTGGTTGTAGGTACCCGGTGAAAGGAGAACTCTCGAGATTTAGCCCAGTTTTAGTGAAAATGCCACAATTGATTAGTGATACCTGCTGTGGGCAGTGGGCAAAAGGGCACAATCCCGCTGTCATGGCTAGCCATTCAGGAAACCCATACTTCCTTATAGATCTTTCATAGAGAAGCTTAGCCAATTGGGTGTTGACTGTAATGTTTATCTCTGGTATACCTGATTACTACATCCATGGTATCTGCCGACTTCAGGGATCTCTTAAAATACAAATACATCGAAATGAGGCCAGGGCTTAGCTCTTTTGGAGTAGTGGAGAGGGGGGTTAGGATTTAGGGGGTATTGAGTATCCTAAATTTCGTTTAGCTTCTGGATGGATACAAAGATAGAAAACTATCTTGATCTTAACTCTTACCTCTAGGTCCTCTTGGTTTGTATTTAATATCTAATCACCAGAAGTCTCATAATAGCAAGCATGTACGTTTTTTCTAATTTGAAAGAGACATAAAAGAGCATTATATGCTTCAGTTTCCTCCTGCTGACAAATGAATACATAGTTTTTTGGTATGAAACATGCTCACAGTATCATACCTTCAGAACAACAGTGTCAATTCACTTGGCCTACTTCTGCAGTAGAGGAAGAACTGTATTCAGTCCCCCTTGTCCCACAAGCACAATTATCCAGGGATCCCTTTGGGTTATGATAGGATTTCTTTGGTTAAGGTACCCTGTAGCATGAGACCTTTTTGGGGGCAATTGTACTCTTCTCTAAAGTGCAGTGCCTTTTGTTTTCACTTTGTAAAAGTTGCACGATTGGACACATCCAGCTTCACTTTATACTGTAGTATGAGGTACGAGCAAAACAATTTAGAGAGTGATTATATCTAGTGGAAGAATGGATACTTTTTGTGTGCTTTTCAAAAATCCATTTCCTAACAACTACCTGCTGTTCCTCAACAGAAAGGAAGGAAACAACTCAGGATTAAATTTGGCAGTATCAATTTATCTATTGAATTTCTGAAATTCTTTCAACACATTTCCCCCAAGTCACCACAGGATTTTTCTGAGTTCAGTATATTCAAAACAAGTTAATTGTTGCAATGATTCTTATTAATAAGTTACTTACTATTCTTATCTTTTACATATATCTCGTTTGGTTTTTGCAGTTACTCTATGAAGTAGGTGTGACATATAGTCTAGAAATATATACACACATATATATGTACACACAGACCTGATATGCTTATATCTATATCTCTATTACCTAATAGAGCTTTGGTTTTGTATGCATACACAGACATAACATACTACACTACATTCTATATCAAATATATATATATATATATATACCCAAAGCTCTACTAAATTTTTTACTGAGTAATATAGATGATTCATCTTATTTTTCTGTAACTTTTTAATTGACATAATTAACATACAATGTTATATTAGTTTCAGGTGCACAATCTATAGATTCAGCAATTCACCGTTCTCATCATCCAATATTATATTATTGACTATATTCCCTATGCTTTTCATTTCTGTGACTTAATTATTTTATAACTAGAAGTTTGTACCTCTTAATCCCCTTTATCCATTTCACCCAATTCCCCAACCCACCTCTACTCTGGTAACCAGCAGTTTGTGTATTTAAGAATCAGTTCTTTGATTTGTTTGTTAAGTTCCACGTGTAAGTGAAATCATATGGTCTGTTCTGTCTTATTTCATTTAGCATGATACCCTCTAGTCCATGCATGTTGTCACAAATGGCAAGATCTCCTGTTTTTATGGTTGACTACTATTCCATAGTACATTTACATACCGCATCTTCTTTTTTTTAATTTTTTTATTGTTATGTTAATCACCATACATTCCATCATTAGTTTTTGATGTACTGTTCCATGATTCATTGTTTGTGCATAACACCCAGTGC